TCAAGTTTCATTCCGCCCATCAGGATTAATCTTTGTTTGCAAAAAACAATGTAATTAATGCATGGTAGAGAAAAATAACAAAGGGGGGTTCAAGACGTAAATCCTGAATAACGTCTTGAAACCAAAGGATGATTCGAGTTGAAAACCTGAAAAGACGGCTCGAATATAAAAATTGTGCAACTGAGGCGATCACAAATTCCTTGATAAGGCATCGCACAATTCAAATGTGACTATGAAAGCGGGAGTCGGAGAACACTTCCAGTAGAGGGCATGCAATCACCCCATCAAACCTTTGAGCATCAAATGCCAAACCTTTGAGCATCAAATGTCAAACCTTTGACCAACACAATAACTGAGACCTTTTTATCTTTTCCTTACTTAACCATTTCCAAAGATAGCTTTGATCTTGGCACGTGTCAAATAGCTATAATTATTGAAGGATCAACTTGTAATTAAACATTTGATATCCAATGAACTCTAGTTTTATGATTCGTCTCAATTGTAAAACCGTGAAAGAGACAATATTTTCAAAACTTTGATTAAACATTTTCGAAACTCTTTATTGATATTTTCAGAACATTGAAAATAAAAGAGAAAGAAAATCATTTTTCAAACAAGACAGTCTCTAGAGTGGATCTTGGTAAAGACATGTGACTCTTAGACACAAAACTCATGCTCAGAATCAATGCTGAAGCAAGAAATAAGGAACATTTGGGGCATCTTTGAAGATTCAACATCAAATATTGGGGCATTTTTTGATATTGGGGTATCATTTGGGGATTCAACATCCTAATGCAAATTATCAGACCTTTTTCAGGAGATAAAATATAACCAATTCATGTTACATGCATCTTATGCATACATTTTAGAGCATCATATTTATCATTTTTCACATACATAATTTTTTTACAGATTTTAGAGTCAAGTTTCAACTTCAAGACGAATGATACTCGATTTAAAAACACCTTTAAAGATTCATGTTGGTTGCTTAACTCAGCAGCAAGAAGCTACACTTCGACCAACTTGACAGATTGAAAGTTTCTCTCGAAACAACACAATTTGCTCGAGAGTGGATTTCAACTTCACGACGAAGGATATCTAGCTCGAAGCCAAACTTCATAATAAAGGGGTCTCTACGGTTTCAACTTCACGGCGAAGGGAATTGTGTCCACCCGTAACATACAATACTTGGATTTCAACTTCACGACGAAGGATATTCAAGTCAAGGCTCAACTTCACAATGAAGTGGCCATCCGCGATTTCAACTCAACGACGGAGGATATCGTGCCACTCGAGACAACACAAGTTCAACTTCACAACGAAGGGATGACTGGTTGCCAACAAATAACTTCCCAAATTCAGAGCCAATTTCAACTTCACAGCGAAGGATATTGGACTCCAGACAACACAAGTTCAACTTCACGACAAAGGGACCGCTGGTTGTCAACAAACAACTTCTCAATTTCAGAGCCAATGTCAACTTCACAACGAAGGATATTGGACTCCAGACAACGCAAGTTCAACTTCACAACGAAGGGACCGCTGGTTGTCAATAAACAATTTCCCAATTTCAGAGCCAATTTCAAACTCAAGACAACGCAAGTTCAACTTCATGACGAAGGGACCGCTGGTTGTCAATAAACAACTTCCCAATTTCAGAGTCAATTTCAACTTCACAGCGAAGGATATTGGACTCCAGACAACGCAAGTTCAACTTCACGACGAAGGGACCGCTAGTTGTCAACAAACAACTTCTCAATTTCAGAGCCAATTTCAACTTCACAGCGAATGATATTGGACTCCAGACAACGCAAGTTCAACTTCACGACGAAGGGACCGCTGGTTGTCAACAAACAACTTCCCAATTTCACAGCGAATGATATTGGACTCGAGACAACGCAAGTTCAACTTCACGACGAAGGGACCGCTGGTTGTCAACAAACAATTTCCCAATTTCGGAGCCAATTTCAACTTCACAGCGAAAGATATTGGACTCCAGACAACGAAAGTTCAACTTCACGATGAAGGGACCGCTGGTTGTCAACAAAGAATTTCCCAATTTCGGAGCTAATTTCAACTTCACAGCGAAGGATATTGAACTCCAGACAACGCAAGTTCAACTTCACGACGAAGGGACTGATGGTTGTCAATAAACAACTTCTCAATTTCAGAGCCAATTTCAACTTCACAACGAAGGATATTGGACTCCAGACAACGCAAGTTCAACTTCACGACGAAGGGACCGCTGGTTGTTAACAAACAACTTCCCAATTTCAGAGCCAATTTCAACTTCACAGTGAAGGATATTGGACTCAAGACAACGCAAGTTCAACTTCACGACGAAGGGACCGCTGGTTGTCAACAAACAATTTCCCAATTTCGGAGCCAATTTCAACTTCACAACAAAGGATATTGGACTCGAGACAACACAAGTTCAACTTCACAACGAATGGACGGCTGGTTGTCAACAAACAATTTCTCGATTCCAGAGCCAATTTCAACTTCATGATGGAGGATATTGGACTCGGAACAATGCTACTTACTTGGATTTCAACTTCACGACGAAGGATATCCAATTCCAGGCTCAACTTCACGACGAAGGGTCCACCTGCAGTTTCAACTTCACGACGAGGGATATCCAATTCAAAGAAGAATTATCTGTCAACAAAGATCTTCGAGTTCGACTACGCTCAGCTCCAAGGCACATCATTTACAACATAACTCAAGGCTAGAAGGGTTATCTGCTATCAAAATTGTAGAGTTCGATTCCATTCAGCTCGATGACACATCAATCGCACTACTTTCCGATTGCAGTCGAGGTTTTCAAGTCGAGAAGAGGACCTGGGTTAGCCGTGCCTAGGTGACAAGCAACCATTTTCAAGCAGCATAGCTTAAGTCAAGAAAAAGCTATCTGTCAATGAAGATTTTTGAGTTCGATTTCGATCCAAGGTCTTTAAACCGAGAAGAATACCGAAGGGCAACGGGAAGCCACGTGCTGATTCAAATTTTGAAATACGGCCTCAATTTCATATCATTTCAAGATGAACTCGACTTCACGATGGAGGAGTCATTCGTAACTCAATTCGACAGGGAGTTATTGAAACATCAGATTCAATTTTCAACTCCACTGAACGAAAAGTGTGTCTTTTAATCTTTGCCTTATCCCCGTTACACGACTATGGGCAAAGAGGGGCAGCTATCAACACACATTTTCGTCCTACTAGGATTCAAACTCCTAAAAATAGGATAGTGTTCTACTATTATTTAAACTCCTAAAGATATGATCCACAAGCATTATAAATAGTCATTGTAACTCACTATTGTAACACATTCGGAGGAGGATATACGAAATACCAAGCAAAAAATTACAAGCAACTCGTAGCCATTTTTCGAAGCATTTATATTTTGAAAGGTAAAGTTCATACCTTTGCATGTTATTTTTCCTTACCCTTGCTGTGTTCTGATTTCGAAAGAAAACTGAGAGAAGTGTTTTTGGTCGATGCACGGGGGCATTTTCGAGATCTATTTTTGTAGATCTAGTCCCCGAGGCTTGTGTTTTTGAAAAACTATTCAGATTTTTATAAACGGATCGTGTGGATCCGTGTGTTTTGTCATTTTTTTCTTCGATTGACTTTTAATTTTGACCCATAATTCATTTTTTATTTTAATTTAACCCTTATATTTATATGTATATATGTATATATTTAATTATATTTTATTTATTTATTTATTATAATTTTTTTATTTTTCTTTGCGTTATATTATATTTTTCCTATTATATATATATATATATATATTATTTTTATCTATGTTTACTTATTTACTATGTTTTTTACTATATTTTCCTAACGTTATATATATATATATTTTACTTTATTTTATTTTATATTCTATAATTACTATTTTTTAGTTAATATTATATGTATATTTTTTCATTTATTTATATATTATTACTATTTAGTATTTTATTATATATACATACATTTTTATTTTTATATATATTTTTTATTATTTTATTTATACTATTTATTTATTTTATTATATTTTTAATTTCTTTGTTTTATTATTATTTTTCTTTTTTTAAAAAAACACTTTACTTTTTTATTCTTTTTGTATATATATTTTATATTCATTTATTTTATTTTATTCAATTTCATTTTTTTTTTCATCCAATTATTTTATGTTTATTATTATTGGTTTCATTTATTTCCTTGGTTTACTCTTTAATTTTGTTACTTTCTTTTATTATTATTATTTTCTTTTAAAATCTTATTTCTTAAGGGTATTTCCGTAAACTCATTAAGGGTAAGTAATTCGGATCAAATTTTACCTTTTAATTTAACTTGCAATTTTCTTAATCAAAGACAAATGGAAATTACGTAGTACCGAAAGGACGATTCAAGGGTGTTAATCCTTCCTTGACCGTAACCGACTCCCGAACCCGACAAATCTTTGGAAAGACGCAGATCAGGTAAGAAATAGGGTATCCGATCAACCCATTTATTTTAAATAAATGATCGGTGGCGACTCCAATCCACATTTTTCAAGTCGAAGCCCAATTCCGGAACTCAACCGAAAGACGGTTGCGACAATTCGAAACTGATGACGTTCTCGATTTTGTGACCGATATTGGATTCGTATTCAAGCCTTTGGGAACTATCTTTGGGCAAGAATGTATCCAATGCGTCAAAGGGTATCCAAAGATAATTGAAGCATGTTGTGATCCTCGAACTGAGGCTTGGTGCGCTTAAATCAGAATCCTCATCGACCACAATTGTAATACTAGGATTGGGGCCTTTAATTATGTTGAGGAAAGCATCTCGCAGCGAAAAACCGTGCCCTCTTGTCTCATCAGACAAATAGCGTAGCCAGTTTTGGCAGTTTATGACCAAAGCTTCGTCCTCCCTAAGGACTAGCTAGGGAATAGTCAACTGAGTCAACAGTGATTCGCACTGAACAAACAAGGGTCATCCTTGACATGGAATTCAAAAGGCACGTCCTTAAACTTGGCGAAATTCGTCAATTGGTGTCCGACTTTCTCTTGCGGCATGTTGAGCAAAGAAGGAACTTGTGGCCTCAAGACGCACCGTGATTCGAAGCGACAGAGGCCCTTCGGGTCTCTTAGCTAGTGCGTCTAGTAGAGTATGCCACTGCATACAATGAGTGATGCTAAAATCTAATATAAGAACTTTCGTGCATCCTTGGACGGCCTTTAAAATGGCACTGTTGGATACACAGAACCCGTAACGGTGCCAAGGGATTAAATCCACATACCTGGCTAGCTCGGTGAGAGTCATCAGCCTCCTCTGAAACATGCTTCCGCCGTTGAAATCCATGGCCATGGGGAAAACCCTAGACGCTCTACAGATGAGTGCCATCAAGAACCATAAGGTGAGCCTCTGGTTCGTGTCGCCGACGGAGGAAGCGACGTTGTTAAGCACCCACATGACTTGCTGAGCCAAAGTCACATCGTTGTTCTCAAGGGCACTACCAAGGCATCCTTCGAGTGCTCCAGTTATAGAATCCTGAGGCGTGTTCAAAAGGCTAGGATTTTGACGGTAAATGGATGCACCATTTCCTCTTACCTGAGTTTTCATGGGTTTTGTTAAAAAGTGATCTAAAATTAGATAAAGCTAAAAATAATAATTAGGTTTTGATGAACTTGGACCAAGGTGCAAGGAAATTAATTAGGGTTTTTAATGTGTTGAGAGAAATAGAAAGAGAGATGAAGAAAGACTTGAGATTAACTTTAAGCCTATATATAATAACAGTCCTTGAATGTTTATCTTAAAATTTAAATTTATTTGATTATTTATTTATTTTACTAATGATATTATTTTAAAATTTTATTTATTTTTTTTAAAAATTTTATGTTATTAACGTGTGTCTAACTTAAAAAATATTTTTAGATCCATCGCTATACATAATGATTTATCCATGAAGGCATATATGCAGCCAAAATATTCAAGGGTAAAGTACAATAGAGGTCATTCAATTATTTAAAAAGATCATTTTGGTCATTAATATTTCATAAGCCAAATTGGGAAATTGCTAACTAGTCTATTCCTCCACTCTCAAATCTTCACTTGCGCTCGTCTACTAATAGCAGTGGCTGTATGTATGTATGTATAAAAGAGGGTGAAAATAGGTTAAGGAAGGTGCTCAGCCGGCCATCCTTTTTTCGAATCTGTGCTTCCATTAAGAAAAACCCAAGAAATTTTTAATTATTTGTTTTAATTTAAACTGGAAATTTCTTTTGTTTCGTTGAGTTTAGAGTTTGATGGCGACCTTTCCCTTCCACAAAACAGGATGTAAATGTGATGTAATTTGATTGCTCGTGATGCCCCTAGTAAAGACAAATTGGACCAGTTCCCCACAACCCACTGGGACAAAGGACTTAACTTGTGACTATTTCCCTGCAATGTTACTCATATCATCTTGCATATGCTTTGCAATTTTCACCCCTTTGGTTTTTATTTCTATCTTTATTACATTTTTTTTTGCATAAAGTATACTGATTCGATGTTCTTTGTTTCCCTCGATGGTTTTTATTTCTATATTTATTACATTTTTTTTTGCAAAAGTATACTGATTCGATGTTGTTTGTTTCCCTCGATCCAGGTTCATATAGGACATTTTAGTGAACTCGGAAATGGTGATGTTTGCTGACATTTGCTTTTCTGATTAAGTGAAAATAAGGTCAGTGTGGAGAGGTGTTTTCGATTTCTTCAAAAGAAATTTGTGAAGTGTGATTCGTTAGATAGTTGATGATGAACTCTTCAATAGGATATATATTGTATTCTTAAGGTGTTTATACGGGATTTTAGAGCCGAGATTTTATCCTTCGTATTATGCATGGAGTGTGAATCGAAGAAAACTCAGATTCATAATATGTGTGCATATGAACTATTATACCACGTCGTTACTTTGAGTGACATGATATATAAAGAAAAGATGCTATGGACTTAACACACTTTTCATGATATTTAAAAAACAGAGAAATAAATATACTAATTAAAAATACGAGTAATACATATATATAAAAATTTTGAGAACCGAATAAATAAAGAAATAATTGAAAGAAAATTAAAAGGAGTATGCATTCATAAATAAATTGGTATCGATACTACTCCTCTGGTATCGAGACCAGGAGTTTGATATTAATACCATGATAATTTATGGGCAACTTTGATATTTAAATTGGTATGGATACTCAATGGGAGTATTTATATCGTAGAGTTAGTATCAATACTCATGTTATGATATCGATATCAAGGGTATTTTAGTGGACTTTAAGATTGTTTTTGATATTGATACTCAAGGAGAGTATCGATAGCCATGAGTATGTACTAATACTCATGTATTGGTATCGATACATCAATGATGATTGATTAGTGGACTTCAAGATATCGAAAAGGACTCGAGAAGAGTCAAATAGCATATTAGATTGTGTGATGAGTTGAAAAAGGATAGCTTGAGAATGAGAAGCTAATAATATGTGATCGAACATACAACTCTTGACCAAGAGCTTATTTAGCAATATGATTGACTACTAACATGAGACTCAAGCGTGGAATCTAGAAATGTTACAGTAGAGCAATAGTAATCTTGAAAGTGTGAACTTAACTAATAATGTGATTATTAATGATATGCATGTGGTAAACATAAGAAATTAAGAGGTAAAATTTCAGAAGACTAATGTCTTTGTTTGACACTCTAGAAACGATAAAAAAAAAACCCAACTTATTTGTGTATGACGATCGTTGGTTATATGCGATGGGTTATCAAATATCCTCAGAGTCGTGTCAAGGAACATAATGCATGCTAGTCGGATGTTGCTCTAACACTCTTGTGACCTAGGCTCACTCAAATACTCTAGAGGAGTAGGATAGTCAAATGTACGTTTTTAATGCGAGAGTAACTCAAGTCTTAGTATTGGTTTTGTGGGATCACTTAAAGTATGTTCCTGATGCGAGTGTGATCCAAATCTCATCTAAAATACCTAAATATCTTCCGAAATACTTAAGTCTCATCCATATTTTAAAATCCAAATTTTAGTCTGTAAATAATTATTTTGAACATGTTCTTTGATATATGTACAATTTTTTCATAAAAATAATTATTTAATATATTGGTAAAATTGAGATTCAAAAATATCATTAATTCTTGATTGATAATTTAAAATAAAATAAAATAAATAAATAACAAAATATACTAATTCCCAGGGCCGGTCCAATGAGTTCTAATGCCTTGGGCGAGATAATAATTTTTTCCCTATACTTGTACCGTATAATAGACAAAACATAAATAATATTTTTTAAAACAAAAATGTAATAGAAATTATAGTAAAACAATATCAATATTAATACAAACCAAAACCTACAAGGCTACAAATATCATCTAAAATATAAGTAAATCTTTCATTTTTTAGTCATTGTGCTTCGAAGATAGGATTTCAAGAGCTTCAATTTTGAAAAACTTCTTTCTGCAGAAGCAATATGCTATCAACACATTAGGGAACATATCCATTCTTCTTGCAAACTCTATTATTTGAATAGATGTCAATGGACTTTCACCTTTGTTCCGACAACATTTTCTGTAAAATTTGTAACTCCATAAATAAATATTTTCCATCAATATCAAATTCTTCACCATTTGTCAAATTGGACTCAAGATTTAAACAACATTTTTTTAGTTCGTCATCAAGTAATGAAATTAACTTTGAATCATTAAACAAAAAACCAAATATAGACTCGAAATATTGCATTTGTTCAAATCTACTTTTCAATTGAACAAATGTCATATCTACAAGAATAATAAAATAATCCTTTCGAAATGTTTATTGAGAAGATTGTTGTTCCCTTTCGATATTTGGAATTTCATCAAATTGTTTTTTTTTATAAGAAATGCGTTTTTTTAGGAAATTGAGGTTCAACCCCAATATTATATGCTATTTCTTTAGCTTCATTAATAGCATTGTTAAACACAATTTCCCTATATTCTTCAAAGTAATTAATTAACCTCTCTAAATTTTTAACCGCAACATCAAGAAGCATATATTTGGATTGTAATTTCTTACATTATTCATCACTCAAATATTAGTTTAAGGATCATTTATTGTTTTAATTAATAATTAATATAATAATGGTGTAGGGGTTCTCTTTCCTTTCCGGGATTATTTAATTGCTAAACTTCACTTATAAGCTTGCATTGTGATGTTTATTTTTTACGTCTCCACCTTCGAACATTAGTAATTTCGACCGGCAATGGCAGATGGGCTGGACCCAGGTGCTGAACGTCACGCGTATAAGTAATGGACTACTGCTGCAGCCACGTGGTTGTTGGCTGCTACTGCCGCCAATGCAAACTGGTGCCCCTCAAACATACCGCCATGGGTTAAGGCCCATCTAACACATAAATTGGGCCGGGCCTGCTTATTCCTCAATTTTGTTTATCGAACTAAAGAAGTCCAAGTAACGAAACCAGTCTCACCGCTACACTAAATAAATATCCTTAGATAAACAACATATAATTAAGTATTGATTTTTTAAACAAATTCAAAGTTGTAGGTGATGTACTTGATGTTCATGAGACGCCACACTGAAGTGATAATCAGTTGACAATTTCGGTATCAAATTTTCAACTATCAGGTCCATTTTTGTCTTTCCATATCAACCCATCCAATATGATTTTTATAATCATCAAACAATCTATTAATACAAATTTAATGTTGCACAATAAAAACAAAATTTAAATGGAAACAAACTACGATTCATTGTCATTTTCATTCCTATATATCTCATATAATGCTCGTGGGCTGTCATTTTTAGAAAAGCAATTCCATGAGTAAATGGTGACAAATATGTAAACTTAAATGATTGCCAAAAAGAGGGGATAATAAAATGAAGAAAGACGAAGAAGCTTTTAGCAATATCAGCGGTCATTAATAGTGGCATCAAAAGATGATTTTACAAATGTTTTTACGTGTAGGACGAAAGTGACACATCATTAAAGTTGTGGGTTTATAAAATAAATTTAAAAAGTTGCTTTACAGAGATGACATTTCTTACTTTCCCTCACTAGCTGCAGTGGCAGAAACGTAATATGCAACCGAAAACAGCCCGTGAACAAAACACAATATCCCTCCGATCGACAGGAAATGGTGGTGCGTCAGGCCACACGACGCCTTGGACTTCTCGTTTGATAGAATCCCTATCACCAGCGTCGACAATCCCACCACTAATATTATCCTGATCACCCCCAAAAAAACATAAAATATTATTATTTCGGGTTAGAGCTGCTTGAACGCAATAACGGATCCAAAAATATAACTCAGGATGAACCTATATATATTTAATAATATTGGACTTTAGTATATAGGATGTACATGAATAAAATTTTAGATCGTAAAATGAATAACCAACTGAAGAAAACTTAGATATTATATGTTGTCTTACCAAGTGAAGATGAGACATGTGACCGAGAGTTGCGTATTAGTGGAAGATCTGTGGAACTCTTGCTGAGAACAAACACACATGCACCCGCCGAGCAGGTTAGCAATAACATGGGCTAGAGTCAGCAACGCCGCTGCACCCAACGCTAGCTTGAAAGCATCACGGCTGGGGTCTCTGCACTCAAATATCCACAGCCTCAGGTGCTTCACCTGTAAAAAACCTCGTGATTTAGTAAGTTGATGATAGAGTTTACAAACAATATTTGGCAATTTCAAGGGACCTTTTTTGTGCTGCTTCAGCTTGGATGCCAAGGATGCCTGCTCCAACATCCATGGCCACTATCAAAAGACAAACCACAACGCCTCCGAATCTAACCATTTTTGGTTCTTTAGAATGCAAAGGGTGATGGGTTACAAGACTGATAGCCAAAAGGTGAGTTGTTAGAGGAGTGGAGGGGTGGGGAGAAAGGGTTTAGGAAAAAGATATATAAAGAATGTTAAAGTTGTAAAGCATGTGCATTGAAATGGATTAGCTGGTAATGCTATAAGAAACCACAAAAAGCTTCTTTTGTCAAGACAGTGCTCTCTACTTTACTGTTTCTTTCTTTATCTTCCTTTAGATTTCTTTATTGTCTCTAGGATTCCTTTGATGGGGAAGTAGAAAAAATAGGGTATAAACCAGCTCATATTTGGCTAAAAAACTATCAACATAGTTGCTTGAATTTGAGTAGAAAAATAATATTTCCTTTTACTATTGAATCCATAATGTGTTTAGATGTTTATTAATTTACTTGAAATGATTAAATTCAAAACAATTATTGATTGAGAAAATATTCCCATGTAATCACCTAATCTGTATGGCCATGGGAGCTTTTTCAGTCGATCAACATGGTCGTGGCAAAGGTGAGAAGGTCAGAATAATTCAACGCGAGCCATCAATATTCTACAAAAAAGCATATTCAAAATAACCATAAATCTTGCCATTTCCAAAATTTCAGACTTCAGACAAGGAGTACAAGATTGCAAGAACTACTACTGGCACACACTAATAAGTTTCTCTTTATTCCTTACATAAAAAGAAGTCTAAGGTAGGGTAACGGGATATTTAAGGTTTAAACCCAAACACTGTTGAGGAAGGGAACTGCTTGACTAGGCTAAAACTATTAACCATGTTTACTTTTACGAAAACCATAAACTTTTCGGGCTACTTAGTCTATCCACAATGATGCTGCACTTTTCCTCGAAACTTATGCCTCCAAGACATATGACCTTCGCTAGCTGCCATGTCCTCAACTTGTCGAAGGTTCCAGCTCTTCGATGTTTTTGTCGTTGCTATCATCTGGTAACTGATTCCTATATAATACAACGGCAAAACTTATTCAGCATTCATACATTTGAGCTGACAATATAGATTCCTTTATTTACTTTTAAACATGATTTCATGAGTTACGGGCTGTAAAAAAAATTCAAGATGGTTTAGAACATAGTTACATAAATCGCTCGATAGCCTACGATCTACGCACTGTACGTTGCGATCCAAAACGTGGTACGAACGCGTTTCGTCCCACGAATCTCGTTTCAGTTCGTCCGTTCTGATTCGCGGTTCGTTCGCGAACCAAAACGGTGAAATTAGTGTACCAAAAACCCATAGAGAAAATAATGGAAGCATAAACCCTATGAAAGCAAACCAAAAAAAGAAGAAACCCACCACAACAAACCAAAGAAAACAAAAGCCCTCACAGCAGAAGCAAAGGAAACAAAAGCTCATCACAACAAAAACAAAGAAACAAATATAGGGGTAAGGATTCAATAGGAGAAGGGGCGGTAATGAAGACGGTGGAAGGGCCGATCTTGCAAGTCGACGGTAGAGTCGACAGATTTTTCTGATAGGTAATTTGGTAAAGGAAAAGAAAGGAAGATGGACTGCCATCTTAGAGAAGGAAAAGAAAGGAAGATGAGGAAGCGTTGAAGTGTGAGAAGAAAAAAAGTATAGTTAATATTTCAGAAACCCAGACCAACTCTTTTTACTGTTGTATTTTTACTGTTTAAAATATTGGTTTAATTATAAATTTAGTCCTTCAACTTTAAAGAATTGAAGTTACTGAATAAAATCTATAGTATTAAAGTTACTCTAAGATATTTGAAGTCTTGAAGTTACTTATAAAATTTGATGTAGAAAAATAACAACCTAAGAAATTGGTACATCGTACCAATTTATATGATACATCGTACCGGAGCGATCCGAAATGAGTCTGCCCCTCGTACCTAATTTTAGGGACCTAGCGAATTGCGATCCCGTTCCACGTTCCTGTACCGGAGTGTACCGCGATCCATGTGACTATGGTTTAGAATTTCATAGAACCATATGCAAAAGCCAAAATTCTATACCTTTGTGTTTCCAAGTTTGTAACTTCTGCCGCTGCCGAACTTGAGCCCACCACTAGTGCAGGCATCTATGAATCAAACATGGAAGGAATTATTGCATGCAACAATATTTGAACTGTTAACCATACGTCGAAAATACTCCTTCCCATTTCTTCCCCCCATTTTCGTTATGTTACCTCGACTTTATTCAGATTTGAAGGCGAAATCTCTTTCTCAAGCAGCTTTTCATGCTAAAGGGGATAAAATTCGCTGAGATTAAACTTCATTAAATGAGGAGAAAATTCATTGGTGAAAATATACTCACTTTCAACTTCTCAATTCGTTGAATTGCGTCCATAACAATTTGCTGTCGATGAGTAGCTTCAGAAATTGAGAGCTTCGGAATCATATCAGGATTATAAGACCTGTACTTTTCAATAATACTAGGAAACATAAAACATATCAAACAAGCAAAGTTTTTACAAGTAGCTGTCAAAATTCCCAGCCTTAACTCATTAAAAATGTGATGATAAGTATGCAGAAAATAATGACCTCATCTTTTCCTCAGCTTCAGATTTCTTTCGGTGGAGGTCAGATAGTTTTCTCTCAAGTTCCTATGAAACCAAAAAAGACAACTGGAAAGTTATGGGAACTACCATTTTTAGAGAGCAAAATAACAGCAAGTTATTCAGAGTTTGTTTACCTCTATGCTGAACATGCATTGCGTTAACAGCCGATAGATCATACGATAAAATGGAGAGAATGATGGTGAGATAGAAATAAATTAAAGCATAAAAAGGAATGTGCATGTTTGGAGTGAAAGAGAGACAACATGTTACCGTCCTATTTTATCCAGTATTTCTGCTTCATACTTCAAATGCTTCAAGCTTTTGCGCAAGAGCTGTAAGCACAGGCAATATACAGCATAGTAGGAAGACAAAAACAGTCTTAAAAAATGGGGCGAAGGAGAGCACGAAAGAGGGATATGCTACCTCATGGTTTTCGAGTGGTCTGACATAATTGGGGATAACCAGGGGCAGAACACAGACAAGGACAGATGCAAATGTATTAGTAAACCCTTAGCTTCACTATTTGTGAAATCAGTTTATGGGAAAAAATAGCAAAGATCATCAAAACGTACTGTCCACATTCATCACACCAGTCCAAGAAACGAAGAAAGATATCCTCAATCCTATAGAGAGCATGAGAAAAATTCTATCACAAGATGCATTTAGAACTTGGAAACACAAGCATATGGAAAGAAGAACATAAATAATATTATTATCGATTAGAGACTCTTCATCACCTTCCCTTGCTAGCAAAACTAGTAAATTGCCCTGTAGGAGAAAACATCATAAGTCCAACATCAGTATTACTTAACATAGATAAGTCAGAGGCCTTCTTGAGAATGCTATCCCTGCGTTTTATATAAGTCATATGACGAGACCAAGAATTGTCAATTTTCTTCTTCTTGTGACCCATGATCAAAGGAAATCAGATGAGAAAATGAAGAAGGAAGAAAAATTGGTGTAGACTACTAAGAGAAATGCAGTTTATATAAGAAGGGAAGAATATGGATTAAATTTTTGGGGCTATGCAAGAGGGTAAAATAGGCATGGTAATATGACAAATGTAGAAAAAGTCCCTTGTTCATAATCACTAGGGGATTTTCTTTGGCCTGACAAAGCTTCCAGATTGAATTGTATATATTCTTGAAGTTAACTATGACGAAAATAAATTTAAATGATGCAAACCTAAAATTAGAGTCTGATTAAAGCAAACATAAAATAATACCATCAGAATGGCTCAAGGCATTGATGGAAGTTGTCCAAGAAGTTGCATTGCAACCATGTTTGCCAACAAAAACCGACGGATTGACATGCTCAGCGTTGCATTTCCATAACGAAGTCGTACAAATTGTAAAAGAATATTCATCCTTAACAAAATAAGTACCATTTGACCAACCAACGGAATCCACGTTCGGTATCAAAGTTAAAGGCAAGACATAACTTTGGAAGGCCATAAAGCCATTTCCTCATAGGAATTTTAGAGATTTACATGCAGGTAATATACAAGCGAGATCGGATAAGATTTGGATTATAAGAGATAATTGTCAAAACATTAATATAACTAAGAGTCGTAGCTCACTTGTGAAGGATTTAGATTCGGATGTTTTATAATTCCTTAATTCTACTTCTCATCTAAGTAAACCATAGAATTCAAAGACCCAGTATTTCATTAATAAATAGTATACATTTAGAAAGGGAGAAAAGCAAACTGGAGCAGACCCAGTTTTCCAATGACTAAGATATTCGAATATCTGACTCTACGATAACCATCATCATTAAATGCAATCATCCACTTTTCTATTGAACTGGACAGTTCTTAAACCCCACAATAGCTCATTGCACATAAAATTAAACCATAAACCATGAAAATTAACGGAAAATGTTGAAGCAAGCGAATACGAAACGTAAAATCATAATAAAAACAGTAAAAAAATACAGAAGATAAACATCAGGAATCAGAAAAGAGGATATTTTAAAATTTGAATAATGACCCAACCACCTAATTCAGATAATCAAACAAATGTTTAACTTGTCATTTTGTGAAGGGGGAAAGCATGCAATCTCACCATACCATGAAAAAAAGGGGGGAAGCGTTACTTAAAACTCACCATACCAAGAACCCAGCGGAAAAGAACTGATGGGACCCAAAACTGAGGAAAATTCCAAACGTTTCAACAAACTGCTTTTATGTTTCTTCCATTTTTCAGATTCCTCGAGTTTAGTGCGCCTTCCAGAGTATAAAAATTGATTTACATTAAACAATGCGACATTAAGAAAAACAGGGATGTAGTTCAGATGGTAGAGCGCTAGCTTTGCATGCGAGAGGTACGGGGATCGATACCCCGTATTTCCATATATATTTTCTTTTAATTTTAAATTATATTTTTTTTCTCTTAACTTTATTAATTTTCAATTGATCATTCAATATTCTAATTGCTTTTATTTTGGTCACTTACACTTCTTAAATAATAAATAATAGGGTGGCGTGGACGATTTTATACTGACAGAGAATAAAAATAACGTGTTGTTTACATCTCAAGTTTCCTTTTCTAATTTCATCTTCTCTTATTTCATAAATTTGTTTTCTTTGACTTTTAAAAAGAGGTAAATTATGTTTTTCATCACTTTAACTTAATAATTTTCAGCTTGATCATCCAAATTTTTAATTACTTTTATTTTGACCATTCACACATGTTAAATCAAAATTAGTACAGTAACATAGACAATTTATTGTTTACATCACGTGTTGTCCATCTCATTTTTTTTTCTTTTCTACTTTCATCTTCACATACAAAGATGAAACTTTAATAGTTTCATTCATATTGCATTGTCTTTCTTTAATGTATTTTCTGACCACTTATCAATGAGTTATCTCTTCGTTTCCTACCATTTTATTAATTTATATTTTTTAAAATCTCTCTAAAACTCGTAATATTAAACCCCAAATTTAGAGAAAAAAAGACTTAGATCAAACTAATAAAGCTCTAACGTTGAAGTTAGGAAGAATATGCTCTGATATTGGAAGATCAAAGAATCCAAAAAATAAATTATAGGAAGATTCAGTGGATTTTCTATAAAAAAAAAAATTGTTTGAACCTTTTCATATTTTTTTATAAAATATTTGCAAAACTCTGTATAGTATAATTTTAATAATCCATTTCTGAAATGAACCAGACAATTGAGCCTTACACAGGATACGACAGCAAAAAAAGAGAGAAAAATCACAGAGACAATATTATTTGAAGGTTCTACCGAAGAAAGGAAACCTAAGGTGCTTAGAGGGACAAAAGCACCACCAGCAGAAAGCCAAATCCGAATGTGAGGCATGTCTGGAATCTATTCCTGTTAGCCGGTGAGGGAAGTGGACCGCTGGGAGAAGAAGCAGTTTCAGGTGTTTCCATTGTAGTAACATCAGCCGGAGATGGACTGACAGGAGCTGATTCTGGGGTTTTCGCCGGCGAGGGAGACGTTTCAGGAACCGGGGACACAGATGGTGTGGCAGAAGGAGATATTTCAGGTGATTGAGATGAACTGCCAGTAGCCAATTCCGGAGCTTTTGCCGGTGAGGGAGAAGTTTTAGAAGCAGGAGACGCCGATGGTGGAGTTGAAGGAGATGTTGCTAAAGTGTTTATCTCAATTTGCATCCCTTGGCTGCAATGCCCAAGTGTTCCACAGATGAAGTACCGTTTCCCAGGAGAAGTAAGAGGCACAACGGTGTTGCCATCGCTATAAGTTCGAAGTGGGCTGCTTGCCTGGCACGAGTCATAGTCTGCCTTTGTAACTTCAAGCACATCATGGTTCGGAGTATACTGGAAAACTGCAGATAATAGGTATGTCAATCTGAAACTCACCTTAATAAACATATAGTATGTAGATAGCTAGGTGCAGGTGACTTACGCAGATTATCGCCGACAGAAAACTTTTGAGATGCAACCCAGGATTGTAGGTCAGTGCTTGAATCCCAACCTCCATTAGCACCTCCAACAGTGTAAGTTGCAGTCATGACTAACTGAACCAGCATGGCTGTGGCAGCCAAACATACAAATGTCTTCAGCATTGCCATGAAAGGTGATTTTTGGAACTAAAATCGACTGTGGAACAGAAATGGGAAGATGATGAATTAGGAATTGGTTTTATATATATAGAGAAAGATGGAAGAACAAGAACATGCATTCTCAATAAGAAGGGTAACATTTGATTAGTTTCTTGATAATTTAACGGTTGGAGTTTGTTTTATGAACATGAAGACTTGCAAATGACAGCTTGTCTTTTCGAGTATACGAAATTCCTTCTTACTTTTTTTTGACAAAGTCTTAATGTGCAAGTTAAAGGCAGCCGCTTATAAAAGAATTTGCATTTTAAGACAACTATGAAGAATTTTAGTGGTTGCACCTGCCTTTGGGTCGTGGATGGGACGTTCTTTGAATGTGGAAAATGATTAAGATGGAATAGGAGAAATATATTAGAATCTAATTATTATTATGCTTCTCTCACAAATTAACTCACTTTGTCTTTATAAAATTTATAAGAAAATCAATAGATAAAGGGAAGCACAATCACATTTGGTCGGTTGATCAAACTATTTTTTTAATATTTGGTTATGATTTCTAGAGTCATTAAGAGTACTCACATTGCTTTATCTAGAGTCTATTTCCCTCATCTCTAGGTAAGATTAAGATTATATTTAAAATTCGTCAAATAGAGAGTGTGTGTGTGTGTTTCATGGGCTGATGTCATATGTGTTGTTAAGTGTGAGTAAAACTTGGTTCGAAAAAATTATTAAAATTTTTTATTCGACTCATAATTTTATAAACTCGACTCAATTTTTTTAAGTTTTGAGTCGAGTTATGAAATAAAACTTGAATAACTTGAAATTTTTAGTAATTAGTGTATTAGTTTTCAAGTTCGAATTAAGTCCCTCAACTTTAAATGATATATGTATATCGCATATAAAAAATATGAAATATATGTATATATAGTATATAGTTATAGAAAACCGTTTAATTTAGGATCAAATAATTTCATAATATTATCACTATTTATAGTTAAATTTAGACAAAAACTTAAACGAATCAACTCGATTCAATTAAAAAAATCAAATAAAACTCGTCACCTCAACTAATTCGACTCGGATCAATCGCATTCTGACCCCCTATATGCGGTTTTACTTTTAAAGTGAAAATAAAAATTATAACAATAATTTTATCAAAAGATGATAAAGAAGTTCTATAAATACAAGATTATATAATATTGCTTTTTTAAGAAGAAAAGATTATATAATATTAATATTGTTTAGGTACTTGTGGAGTTGCACCGCTCCAGGCTAAATTATATAAATTAAAAAACAATTGGAAGTCAACCAAAATTATTCAAGTAATATGGAGATTAGTGATTTAAACAGGGAAGCATCTTAAAATAATTAAGAACCTACTTTCCAAACCAAGCATTCATGAATTTATATTAGTATTATTTTTATTATTCATGCAATTATATTAAAACGACCAAACTGGGGCCATGAAGTTACAAAATTGTAGATTTGGCATGGTTGATTGATATAATTCAATAAGTCGATGGATTTAACATGTAATGCCGTTTTATTTTTAAATTTTAATTTAACTTTTAAAAAGAAAATTGTTTTTCGAAAATTGTAACGAAGAATTTGAAATATAAACACAAATTAGATTAATACATAATGATAGATAAGCGTCAATACTCTTTAGACAATTTTTTTTTAAAAAAAGTTTAAGTGTTGATATTTAAATATAAATATCGATATTTGTTATATGGGTATCGACATTTAAGTGTGTTCAAAACATTGATTAAAAAATAGAATGTGAAATCAGTATTAATACTGACTAATGAATAATAATATTGTAACACCTCGAAAATCTTAGTATTAGAATTCATGCTATCCTAATATTTTTTTTATATTGTTTTAATAACAAAATCAAGTTCATTATTAAAATAGATTATACTATTTCACAAATTGAGGTATAATGCCTTATTTCTAGTGAAGAAATGTCAAATTTAAGATTTGGATAAAATTGTAAAAACTTTAGAGTATGAGGGATGAAATATCCAATTTGTAAAAACAAAACTAAACATGAATTAATGAGTATTATGATTCGTATGCAATTAGTAACCATCACGTTAGTTTTGGATTTAAATGAGTCATATATATTATAAATAAGAAGTTCAAAGACTAAAGCATAATTTTACCAAAAGTGAAACTAAAAATGAGCCTCGAAGGATTACAATAAAGGGACGTTTGGTTCATGGAATTTAAGATTATCTTTGAGTATAAGATTACTGTAATGCAATATTACTCTAAGAATATTATATTACCTCATTTGGTTTATTTAGAAGGATTGTGAGGTTACGATATTTGGATGTATATTTTACCAAAGTATCATTATAATAGTTCTTTTCAACAAGTTAAACTTAAATATTTAAATAAAAATTCATAGAAATATTTTAATAGTTACACTATCTAACTTTTCAGAAAACAATACATTTAACATATATAATTAATATAATTAGTTAAATAATTTTCATAAATATCATATTTGTTTATATAAAATATAATATAATATAAAAAATATTATGCAGTATCAAGTGAACAAATATAACAATTTTTTAATGTATAAGATCTATTTTTTAATAACTCAAAGTCAAGTATTATATTAAATAATTATATTTTTATAATAATATTATTTTGCACCACATAAAATTATAAAAAAATTCAAGTATTAAAAATATAAAATAATTTTAACAACTCAAATTTATTAGTATTTTATTAAATCAAACCCTTTGTATATGATTTTTTTTATAATTTTGAGTAAAACATGATGAATAAGAATTACAAAGGATTCATATGAAAAGAATTTATTATTTTAGGTTTACTCTTATCCAAAGTTGTGGAAATTGTGTAATATCTAAGAATTTGGAAGTAATGTCATTTCCACTATTCTAACAAAAAACTATTACTATTGGTAATAATATTTACTGTGAACCATATGTGAAAATACAATTCCGAAAAATTATTCCCTTTGATAATGATTTTTTCGCGAACCAAATACCCCTAAAAGTCTTTATATATATATGAAAAATTCTACAACGCTCATCGAGCGTAGATGAGTACGGTTAACGATGAATATCATTAAACTAATTTAAAAAACGTTAAATTATATATAATTATAAATTAGTTAAAAATCTAAATGTAATTTAATTAAAATAAAATATTTACAAAACATTAGTTTTTAGGTTAAACTATATCATTGACCACCTAACAATTTACGCTTTTTACTTTAACCATCGATTTTTTAATTTTGTCAATCGGGTCACCTAATTATTTAAATCTTGTCAATCGAGCCACCTTCCGTTAAATATTAATGGAGGAGATGACATGATAGTTAATAAAATTTATATAATTACACATTTAGTTCTCATTACTTACACGTTCTATTAATTTGGTTATAACTTTTATTTAATCCTCATGTGTGACTATGTGATTGAATGTTTTTTTCTTAAATTATTTATTTAATTTAATAGATTCTCCATCCAATCAAATGGTGCTACATGTCACCAATTGAATGAATAGAAAATAATTTGAATTAATAATCGCTATTGGTGGGGTTTGAACCCAAGACATGAGGAGAAAAAACAAATGCCCCAACCACTAGGCTGCACCAATCAAATGTCAAACTTATCACGACATAATATATATAACTAATAGCGATAAAAAAAGGAAAATGATCTAATAAGAACTCCAACATGGAATAATTGAATAATACGATAATATGATATATATATATTATAACTAATTAATATGTGATTGTATTTTATTTATATTTTAAATCATTTTAATGAAATAATAAAAATAAAGTAGTTTTAATATATTATAATTGAAATATAACTAAGAGTTTCGTTTACTTAGAATTTTCCTGATATTTGAGGGCTTATCATATTAAACATTTTAGTTTATGCATTGACTTGTTTATATCAGTCAATCCCGGTTAGAGTAAGAATTCTATATTTTATTATTTATTCATTATATATTAGAAGAAATTTTTATGGGAAACTTGATTTTATTGAATTAGTCTATTTTAATATAGAGTTGTTAAATAAGATTAGAATCCGATTGATGTTATAATATTTTAAAATATAAAATATGATATATTTAGTTCAACAAAATTAAAATAATAAAGAAAATTTATTAATTGAAAATATGTAAAATGATGCACTTCAATTATAACATATTGAATCCACTTTTATTTTAATTTTTGCATTAAATGTAATTTAATTAACCACATTTGTTTATTAAGAAATTATAATATTTATGCATATATATTATATTTTCATACTATTCAATTATTTCATGTTTGAGTCCTTATAAGGTTATTTATTACCATTAACTATATTATAAATTATATATATTATGTTTCATATACTAGACTAATTTAGCTAGCTTAGTAGTTAGGGTGCATAGTTTTTTTGCTTGTGTCATAGGTTCAGTCTCCACCAGCTGCAGTTATTGATTTAATTTATTTTTTATTCATTTAATTGGTGACACGTGACACCATTTGATTGGATGATAAAATTATTAAATAAAAAATATTAAAAAAACATTCAATCACACAGTGACACATGTCACCATCGTATTGAGGATTAAATTTATTGAATTAAATAAAAGTTAGGACCAAATTAATAGAATGTGTAAGTAATAAGGATTAAATGAGTAATTATACAAATTTTATTAACTGTCACATCATCTCCTCCGTTAATATTTAACGACATGTGGCTTAATTGACTATAATTAAATAGTTAGGTGACCCGATTGACAAAATTAAAAAATCAGTGGTTAAAGTAAAAAGGGTAAATAGTTAGGTGATCAAGGATATAGTTTATCCGAAAAACTAATGTTTCATAAATATTATATTTTAATTAAATTACATTTATATTTTAACTAATTTATAATTATACCTGTAATACTTTATAATTTAGCATTTTATAAATTAATTTAATGGTATTAATCATTAACGATTCTCATCGGTACTCGTCAAACGTTACTCATCAAGCGTAGCAGCATCCTCCTATATATATATCGCCCCTAAAGTCTTTAAAAAGAGGTTTCCAAGCATGTATAGAGGTTTAGAACAAGGTTTACAAGTAATCACATTTTCTTTTTATCACAACTTGAGTGTTTTATAGTACATCATCATTTGCTTCCTGCATATACATGGTACACTATCCTCTTCCTCTTCCTTTTCTTCAAGCAGTTTCCCTATTTCATTCTTGAGAAGTTCATTTCATCTGCTAACTAAAAAAGCAGGCAGCATAAGAATATACGGTACTCCAAATACCAAAGAAATAAAAAAGGATAAACTGTGACCAAGTTCTACTACTTATTTCAATTCGATGACCAAGGATCAATGTTTATTACATGGAACGGAGCACGTGTTTTGCACCGGTTCGAAAGATAAAATAATATTAACAAAAACTAACTTGCAACAAGGGTTTTGCCTTGTGCAACGGAGACATTAGATGGTTGGCAAAAGCTAAGAAAAAAAGGGTCTAAGTCAGAAGTAATATGCACCAAAGGTTTTACTTCAAGGTTCTTCAAAGCCAGTTGGACACCTTGATGTGTACCTTCATATATAGTTTCCTGCAAGGAATCAATAGAACAACATTCTCAGTATGAAGTGTATAATTTCCCTTTTTCTGTGGTTAATGAAGCTCAGAGAAGTATCATGTCGGTTTCTAGCGTGGCATGTAAGATAAGCAGTGGTTTTACACGAATAATATATTGTCAAGAGCCCCGTTAGCAATCATACGGAACTATAACGCAAGCATAACTGAGGCAGTTCATAGAAGCTCGGGGATGAGCTCGGTTATTTTGATTAAGTAAATCACTAATAATAAGTTCAATTGAAAAGGCCTAAGTTGAGCATGTATACAAGGAAATGACGCACAAAAAAGTACTTTAAGAGAGGAAAATCTTAAAAGTTGCATAAGTTTATGCATCAGGTATTTTTATCAACATTTGCAATCTAGCATTGAGCAAGATTCTATCAGCTCCTAAGCGATGAAATGAAAGGGTTAACACTTGAACGTTGAAAGTGCATGCAATATGCTACCAATGCCGAGATTAATCTCTTTGTATGCTAAGTCCAACTATTATCTTATTAAATATGTTACCGTCATGATCAGAAGCTTTCATAATCTGCCTTAGCAGTTCCGTGCAACGAGAGGATCATAGTCACACTCTTCACCTGCTTTTACAAATCTGCCTTTCACACGTTTCCTAGTGTCGGCTCTGGCCTTACGGGAGGCATATCTTATTTGCTTACCAAATCTGTAAATAGAAAAATGAAAAATACCAGTTAGACTTTAATTGAACAGGACTTTGTCATATATCACTCTGACCATGTGAATGAATAGCTATTTAAACTGAATGTCTAATTTTTTTTGCAAAAACAGACTCCTCCATCTTAAATCAGTAAAACATCACTTTAAACATATTTTTAACCCAAAATTGAATTATCTCATGATCATATTAACCTGAAAACAGAATGTAAAACACTACTTTCAATGGAACAAAGATGAGAAACATACATTCGTGTTTTCTTTTTTTCAATGTATCTCTTCTTTGCCTTATCCCTAGCTTGTGGCCAACTAGCTTCTGAATTTGATTCCCATCGGGAGTCACCAGTTAGAAAAGCTGGAGATAATCCACTGTCTTTGTAATCAGAAGGGCTATTTTTTCCTGTAAAGTTGGATAGTGGAAGAGCTGCCATCGAAGGAATTTGACCAACAGGATATCCCAGATTGATGTTTCTGTTACAATCCGGATTCATAAGCATGCAATTGGAAGTGCCAGTCATGGAAGCCATCATACTAGCTGAGCCACCAACTTGAGAGGATGAAAAAGGCAGGATCTCCTTTTGTTCGGATGGTGATGCCTGTTAAGTACACAACGGTGGCTTGTCAACCACGAACAGGCTTAAAATCTCTTATCCAATTTAACAAGGAAACATATAAAAACAAGAACACAATTAAGCATGTAGTTGCAGGTTTGTCATTTCTCTAGAATAACAGCAGTAATAAGTAAGCTCGATAAATAAAAAGCATGCAAATGCTAGAATGTCTTGTCAACACAATAACATGACTACCATACCAATCTTGTTGCTTATGGACGTCAATGACTAGGCCTGACAGGTTAAAGCATCTAATAATGGATCATGGAGGAGAGTCTCGACTTGATCCTAGCAATTATTAACTTGAGCGATTCCCAAACTTCCATATATCAAATGCTTATTTCTCTTTCCTTAGCACGTGTCTGTTTGATTTGTAGAAAGAAGTTAGTAATACAAGGTACGATTTGCTCATACGAGCAGAGACTAATGTGAAATGAGTCGGTTATTCCAAACAAATGCTGCATATGTGGGTGACTTAGGTCAAAAATAAAGGGTTTTCTATTAGAGCACAAGGTTTCCAATTTTTCATGTACCAGATTTTACTTTATATCAGAAACATATTAGATGCACATACTCACAATACTACAAAATATATGAGAAAATGGGAAGGGAAGAAATAGAATACTTAACAAAAGATGCCTTTATTATCAATTGAAATTGGAATAAAAACCTCTAACATGTTCCCAATAGGACCGTTAAATTTGGTTACTGATAAAGTTTTGTCCATTATAAGGCAGTCTGTCCCTATCTTCTCAAACTGGTACCTAGTTTGACCTTGAGAAGAGACAAATATCTCCTCAGCAGTTTCGAAGCTTAGTTGAACATCGTTCATGTTGAGAACTTCACATAGGCCATAACCATCAGGAACTTTGCAATCTCTGAGGTCAGAATAACCCTGCAACAAAGGAGGCAAACGATCGAATCATGTAATCAGAAATGATCCATCACATTGGAGGAATCAAGTGATCACTTAAATTTAGTAGTTTCTATCACCAACTCAAATAAATACAGCACCAAAAAAAAACATACATTTGGCATACTCGGTTCGCCTGAAAAAAGATGTTCTCCATCTCTATAATAAGGAACGTAATTTGCATTTGGTGATATCAGAGAAGTTAACTCCATACTAGGCTTCATCTCAGAACAAGAATCCAGTTCATTTAAGCTGGTACCAGCCAATTCAAATGAGCCCCCTTGTTCTGTTTGATTCAAACAGTCAGCAAAACAATTTTCATTAGCAGGGGAAGCACCGAGTGGCCCATCAACGTCGACAACAGCGGGAGACGAAGTACGGAGAACCGAAGACCAGATTATTCTAAACTCAGCCAAAGAAGGACAATCTGTATAAGAATTCAATGCTTCTCGACAATGTCCCAAACTCGAGCAACCGATGCCGTTCCTATCACAATCTTGACAAAGAGACAATTTCTCATCCAAGCATCTAACTACCGCTGATTGAGAATTGCATATCTCACACAAAAGTGAACGAGCGTGTCTACGTGACAACAAATTCGCAGAGTGAACGCACCCATCACAGCTCAAGCAAAGCCGAGCCGAATCCGATTTACAGTAAACCACCGCTCTTTCCCCTCGACAAAAATCGCATATAGGTTCCATCCCGTTCTCTCAACTTTTCCAACAAAAACTACTGCTCGTGGGCGGGAATCCTATTGAAAACTACCCTTCATCATTGAAATTAACAAACAAACAAAAAACCCCATTAAAATATACCCAAATAACGTACAAAGAACGAATGAATTGAATCATTTGAATGCTTTCGAATGAATTGAATCATTTGAATGCTTTAAGATCATGGGAAATGTAAAATAAGCTTAGGCTTTACCACTTCAATGAAAAACACCGAATCCCAGCCTCCAAATAACCGCATAATTCATCAAGAAAAAGCAAACATTCTTTGAATTTTGAGCGAAACAATTCGAAATTGGCGAAGGAAAAGGTTATATCAGTGAAAAGCTGTCAGCGTCGGTTACTGGAAGTTAAAATTTTCTGCGAGCAAAATCGGTCTATTTATCACATTTGTCCGAAGTTCGTTGGGTGAGTGCCACGTGGTGCAATGTTAGCTTTGTGGACGTTGATACTCTGGCGAAAGTGCCCAAATAAGGACGTGAGAATGTTTAATTTTCAAACTAATGCATTCATCTAATTAATTTTTGATCTAGGATATTTTTTATAAGATTTTGGGATTTTCGACGTTTTTAGAGTTGGATTAGATTTTTTGACGTCTTTAGGGTGAATTTCATTGTTGAAATCTCGACGTATTTAGAAGTAAAAAAGTTGACGTTTCTACACAAATATCACCTTAACAGAAATTAATTACTTGTTAGACACTGTTTAAGAATATTTTACAGATCTAACAAATTTTTAAATATTTTCTATAAAATTATTCCTGCATTAAATTACATAATACAATTATGTTTACCAATTACCACTTGACACTTTATGATGCGTTTTTGACCATTTCAAAATCCTATATGTATAATATATTCTAGGATTTTAAAAAATAATTTTGCAGAAAGGCGCGACACATTCACCGCATATGATTTTGAAAAATAAATATTAGTTATAAAACTTTTATAAATATTTTTCAAAATCCTATGCGGTGTATGTACCGCACCTTTCTGTAAAATTATTTTCAAAATGACGATGATGATGATGACCCGTAATATTTTATAAAATTATTTATATTTTAAATTATTTAATCTCAAAGTTTTTTTAGAATACACTATACGTATAGGATTTTGAAAGGGTTAAAAACGCATCAAAAAGTGTCAAGTGATAATTGGTAGACATAATTATATTGTGTAATTTAATGCAGAAATAATTTTATAGAAAATATTTAAAAATTTGTTAGATCCGTAAAATATTTTTAAACAGTGTCTAATAAGTAATTAATTTCTGTTAAGGTGATATTTGTGTAAAAACGCCAATTTTTTTTCTTAGATTTCAATTAAAGACGCCTAGAGATCCCAAGAAACAATCAACACCCCTGAAGATGCCGAGAGATTTCAAAATCCTGTAAAAAATACTGTAAATAAAAAAATAATCGGATAAGTGTATTAATTTGGGAATTAATACATTTAAACACTTTTGCCAGATACTCTAGGATGACGTGGACATAAGATTTTATTGCGGTCATCCGGTTTGGTCGGGTGGTGGCAACGATGGTAAATAAGTAGATGATTGAGGGTGGTTCCTTAAAAAAGTGGTCACAAACCGATTACCACGTCGGAAGCCGGGTTTTCTATTTGAACTCTAAGACGATAGTGTACCCCCGTATCTCGAGATTACGGATTGACACGTGGTTTATGTCTCTAAAAGGGTTTTGACTTGTCGTGAGATATACTGCTTACGTGCCCTACTCACTTGCCTAAAATGTTAAATTTATTTTTAGTGTTTAAATTTATTAATTTGAAAAAATATATTCAATTTTGATAATATTTATTAATTCAGAAAAAATGTATAAAACTATAAGAAAATAACTTTAGTAACCGAAAATATTTTATAATATACGATTTTAATTATTTTTTTTTATTTACGAAAATAACCAACAAATTCGCAACACGAACTCCAGTTTCGCAACACAGTTTTCAAATTCGCAACGCGATTCTCCAAAATCGCCACGCAAATTTCGCAACTCTAATTACCGATATACATAAACACAACTATTCGCAACGTTAATTATCGATATAGGTAAACACAACTATTCGCAACTCAGTTTTCAAATTAGCAACGCGAATTTCATTTTCGCAACTCGAATTTCGCAACCTTAATTACCGATATAGGTAAACACAACTCAGTTTTCAAATTATTGAATTCGGATTTTTATTGGATTTTTTCTATAAGTTTACCTATATCGGTAATTTAGTTGCGAAATTGGCGAATTCGAGTTTTGAAATTCGCATTGTGAAAACAAAAAACTGAGTTGCGAATAGTTGTGTTTACATATATCGGTAACTAGCGTTGCGAAAACGAAATTCGTGTTACGAATTTGAAAACCGCGTTGCGATTCTGGAGAATCGCGTTGCGAAATTGAAAACTGTGTTGCGAAACTGGTGTTCGCGTTGCGATTTTGAGATTACGTTGCGAATTTGTTAGTTATTTTCGTAAATCAAAATTTTTTTGATTAAAATCGTATATTATAAGACATTTTCGGTCACTGAAATTATTTTCTCATAAAATTATATTCAACTTTGTTAATAGTTTGTCCCTGTCATCTTCATGCTACGATGGTCATTGGTCAATCTAAGGTAAGAATCTGGCAAGTCTTACTCTGCTAGCACCGTCGTGCTTCATCGTTGTCGGGGTGGTCTCGTAGTTTATGGGAAGGAGAACCTATTCGTGTGAGTGGTATTTCATTTGATTTGAAGGGTTGACACTAGGAGTTTTTTTTTAACACTTTAAATTCGATTTAGATAAAATTTAGACCAGAGATATCAATGGTTAACATAAAATTTAAATACTTCTAAATAAATATCAAACATTGATCATGCATAAAAATCTAATTAAGATAATTTTGAATGATTGAATCACACAACATACGATAAAGTTATATAAAAATTATCAATTCTAGCGAGTCTCAAAATCTTTAAGATAATTTTGAATTGCCGACGAATTTCAAAACCTCGATTTCATTTTACTAAAAATATCATTTTAAGCCCAACAACACAAAAATACAAAATTAAACATTAAAATACACTCAACATACACTTATTAAGTCAATACACAATTAAATGTTTAATTCTAAATACAATCAATCTATTTATAAAGGTACTTATGAAACTCAACTTTCTTTATGATCACTATCCAAGCATCATGTAAGCACTTCATGCATTACTTATATGACCTTATAAACCTAAACAAACATTAAAAAATAATTTATGCATAAACCTCGTATAATATCTAAAAAATTATATTTATATTTATATTTATATACTACCATCTAAAAGTTTAAACCAAACGACATTTACACTAATTTAAAACTGATTTATAATATCTAAATACGATCTCAATAATGCTATAAAGATTGAGTACGTGAAATGATAAAAAAATAAAGATAAAAAAAACTTATATAATTTAGTAGGATAGTTAACAAAATGTAAACTAAAGATGTCAAAAACATAAGCTCTTAATGATTACAATGAAAATAACTTATCGACGGAACTTACTTGTATTTATGATCATAACATATAGAAATTTCATATCAATGTATATTTAATAGATTAGTCCATTGGAGTATAAGTAGTTATAGATACATAAATCTCTTATTCTTCGTTAATTAATTTAGAATGATCATCCTCCTTTTCATAAAAGACTCATAATTTTCCCCTATGCGTCAAAGAATCGTAATTAAACTCCAAAATGAACTCAATAGACTCTAAAACATGTTATGTATACCCACACTAAACTTATCATCCAAAGACATGCTTATCATGAGTTTATTATATTTGATTCTTATCTTGCTTACCAAGTAGAATAGATAAGCTTATATCTCCTTAATAGGTCACAATTTAGTTTGATTCATGTTTACAAAAAAACATGTATCATAATTACATAAAACTTATCACAACATAGCTCAAGAGATACATTGCAAGATTAAGAAGTTTACCAAACTTATCTTAATATGCAATTTATCATCTAATGATATAGGTGAGTTAAAATATATAAATAATTTTAATTATAAAAATTAATATAAGTAATGCATCGAGATAATATTAAGTTATCTGAGAACACAAACTGCATTCATAGATTAGATAACATAAAATATACTCACATATTTACTTTAAAATCACATAATATCTCAAATTATATATTGTTAGATAACATTTTTAGAAATTCGTTAATTTATTAAAATTCTTTTAGATTTTTAATAATTAGAATTATTTTTAAATTTTATGTGATAAAATTATAGTGTATGTTATAATAATAATAATGTATTAATAAAAATTATTAAAATTTGACTATTAAAATTGATGAAAGAATTTAACTAATTAATTTTTTAATTTAAAGATTCAATTGAATAAAAAAATCATTAACTTAATTTGTTTTGAAAATAAAAAATAAAAATAAAAAAATTGAGCGCTTCAAGCAGGCTATAAATAACTGAAATGATAAAAGGCCAAACCTGCAAACAGCAATTCTCCCGGTCCGAAGTGCAAATCATGCTCCTCTTTGTACACAACGAATCCCTTAACCGGAACGGTTTATACGTTACTCTTGACTCGCCCACTCAACCCAGTCATCTCGCCCGAGTCACCCTTCTCTAGCTTCTTTTCTTCCTCTAAATTCCCTCCCCGTTATTCCTAAACAATCTCCCCTCTTCCCTATTTGAATCAATTAACGGTCCTTAAAACCCTATAATAGCCACTTTCTCCGCCAACGCCGTCAACCGTTTCGATTACAAGCTCAAACTGCCGGCAATGGAGCCGATGCCGACGGAATCTGATCAACCGAGCGGCGAGGATTTTGTGCACATCGAAAGCCCTAACCCTAATTTTGTGGATGCATTGGGCGATAGCATCGTGAATGTTGAAAGGGAGGAGGATGAAGGAAAAGAAGAAGAAGAAGAAGAGATACTAAACGAGGGTTATGACGGCAACAATGACGACAATGTTTCTATGAACGACAGATCCGATTCCTCGGAGAGAAGGGAACTCCCGGAGGAGCTTTTGAGGAGCGTGATGGTTCTCTCCTGCGAATCTTCCGCTGAGGGCGGTAATTGCGATGTGTACTTGGTTGGGACTGCGCACGTCTCCATGGCACGTGCCGGTCTTGGTTTCTGATTGGTTTAATGAGAAAATGTTGGAAATTCATAGAATTTAAAAATCGGATTTTTTTTCTTCCTTAAATTAAGCTTTAAATGAAACCTATATGTAAATTCTCTGAAAGTCATCAGCGATAATCTTGGATGGGCAATGAGTATTATAGAAAGAGATTGATATTTACTTATTGTGGTTTTGCAGGAGTCATGCATAGAAGTTGAAGCTGTAATCAGTAGTTTGAAACCACAGGTGCTTCTCTTCTGAAACTAATTAACTCTTGATTCATGGATGGATCGTTTAGCAGGTTAGCTGCCTGTGTTTATATTGTACGGTGACTTGAAACTCACCTCAGCAATTAACTTGAAATTCTAAACTCACATGCATCTTTTTTTTTTAAAAAAAATTGTCTCCTTTAGGTTGTTTTCTTGGAGTTATGCTCAAGTCGAGTTGCAGTGCTTACTCCGCAGAATTTAAAGGTTTGTTCTTTCTTTAGTAAATTCTTTGCTTTTAAAGGAAGGGTTAACATGAGGCTCCAGATATTGGAATTTGGATATTGATGAAATAATTTTTGCCACCCTTTTTTGAGCTTGCTGCACTCTTTTGATATTCTTGTGCATTCTCTGATTAACCTTGCATAACTTGGTCATGGCATTGGGCCTTTGTTTTGATTGTAAATCTGTTTGACTGCCCTGGTGTCGCATATTTTCTAGGTTTTAATATTCTGTTGCTAGATTTTCATCTTCGTATTTTAAATCTATCAATTACCAGGTACCAACCATGGGAGAAATGGTAGATATGTGGAAAAAGAAGCATAACATGTTTGGTATCCTTTACAGCTGGTTTCTTGCTAAGGTACTTATATCTTAATACCGTTTGTCCCCATTCCTTTGGCATTGCTGTTGTTCCCATAATGAGTAAGCAATTTGCGTGTCCTAAATCATTACTCAATACTGATAGGTTGCTAGTAGGCTTGATGTCTTCCCCGGGTCTGAATTTCGTGTGGCATTTGAAGAAGCAATGAAGTATGGTGGCAAGGTGATTCTTGGTGATCGTCCTGTACAGGTAAGATGTTTCACGGGTTGCTAAAAGAAAACATCATTGTCAAAAGTTATTGGAGAAAACTCAAATTTATGTGCGACGATCTAGTTATTGTTTGAAGGCAAATTGTTGAGAAGGTAGTCAAATGTTTAATTTATGTTTCTCAATAAAAGAAGTTGGACAGGATTTCTCCACCTAATTGCTCAAGGAAACATTTTAAAACCTTTTTTCTTCGAATATTTAAATCACGTAATGTTGAATGCAAGATAATGTGCATAAGCCTCTCAGCACTGCTAAATATGGATGGTGTCATCTGTCATGGTGGTGCTATATGTGGCTATGCTACCGTTTTCTCAACATTTCGTGCTAGGGTAGCATTCTATGTACGGTTATTTTAAAACTTCACCTGCAAGCATTTTCAAATATTGGATTGGATGAAACAGGTTACTTTGCGCAGAACCTGGGGGAAAATGCCACTTTGGCATAAGATAAAGTTACTGTATTCCTTGCTTTTTCAAGCAGTATTCTTGCCGAGCCCTGACGAGCTTAACAAAATGGTGAACTTTATTATGCTCTTATTTCATCTTCAATAAATGTGCTTTATTTACATTTTCATATATTAAAGCACTCAGACTTCATGAAAACTAAGTACTTATGATGCTAAAAAATATATTGTATGTTCAGTTGAAGGACATGGATGATGTTGACATGCTGACTCTTGTTATTCAAGAAATGAGCAAGGAATTCCCAACTTTAATGGAAACTCTTGTACATGAACGAGACCAGTCAGTATTCTTTTTTCTCTCTTAGATGCTTATCAAAATTTTTGTACCAGATTATGTTACTTGAACTTTTATTTAATTTTCTAAAGCACCATTGTCCGGAACATATTCAGACATAGATATAGGGGCATGACCTTCCAAATGTGTGTCTATAAACGAGAAAAAAAAATGAGCATACCTTTCTCATACACATGCCCATATCCAACACGTTGTATTTGGTTAACTTTGAGTGTTAGTATTTCTCTTTTGACTACAAATCTAAATTTAATGGTTTTCTTTCTCTTCATTTTTTTGTTGTTGATAAATTTGGGATGAATATAAGGTAGTATGTGTTCAAAGACTCTTAACCATTTGACAATAAATGATAATATCCCTGCAATGCGGTGCTCGAACCCGGGGCCTCAAGGGATAACAACAAATCCCTTAACCATTGAAGTTGCTTGGTTTGTGCTTCAAAATTTGTATAACCATTTATGATTTAAGCCTGCCCTTATAGTTTTTCCCTAGCCTTGCATGTTGAATAACGAAGTATTATTAAGCCTTTTCATTTTATGCTTTTTGAAGCGCACGTTTTATACCTGTGCTACTTTTTGTGTTTGATCTTCTAAAACTTGTGTAAACATTCAGGTTCATGTCATCCACATTACTAAGAATTGCTAGCGAGCATACTTCAGTTGTTGCGGTAGTCGGTAAAGGTCACTTGCAAGGAATTAAGAAATATTGGAAGCAGCCTGTTTTGATGGACAATCTCATGACACTTCCTTCACAGAAGCCGACAGTTTCAGGTGGCAAAATTCTCATATCGCTGGGCATCGCGGCTTCTGGTGTGGCTATGGTTGCAGGCATCTATCTTGCGGGGAAGAAATAATCCACTAAAAGCATTTTTGATTGAGCAAAACTTGGATTTTGGTGAAGAAACTCGTCTTAAGCTTGATATATAAGGTTCAAACTCCAAGGAACTGACTGATAACCAGTTTGTTTCACAAAAATTGGGATCCAATTCGGAAAAACAGGTATGCTGGTTGGTATAAATGATTAAGATAAAAGCAGTTTTATCATTTTGTATCCATGTTGACACTCATAAATTTCGGTTTTAGTCTTCATTATTTTTCTTCCTTTGTATAGCAGCTGATTTGCTTCAGTTGTGTCCTCGCAAGCTATTTCCCTTTCTTCTACTTCACTTGTTACCCGCAGGTACATAAAAGATTCTGATGCTATTTGCTAATAAATATATTTCAAAGCGTTGTTGTCTTAGTTTTCTGATTTAGGCATATTTGGGGATGTTTTTAGAAATAATCCATTTATATTTGAGTATAGCTAAATCAATTTAATTTTGTTTAACAAACTAATAATTTTACTCTTACATACATGTTACAAATTTAAAGAATAAATCAAATCGAATTAGGTGACTAAAATAAAATAAAATTTTAAGTTTAATAATAATTAAAAAATTGAATAACTAAACAAGAACTGTTGAAATAGTTAAATGACTACATACTAAAATTTTCCCTTGAAACAAATAAAATAACGATTTAAACTTCAAATTTTTTACGATCGGTAAAAGGTACTCGAGTTAAAAGGTACATCATGTACGGGACAATGGTGCATCTAAACCAGCAAAAACAGTAAGCTTTTTATTTTAATTTACTCGGATTGAGCATTTACTAAATATTTTTTATATTATGTTATAACCCACCTATAACTATATGCGGCAACTCCAACTTTAACTTAACAAATCCAAAATTTCAAATTTCACTTGCATCAAATTTCCGTTACAGTACAAAATCTCGTATTTACAAGCTTAGCGAAGGAACGTTTCTCATCGAAACCCCTGGCCTTAAGCCTAAGTCTCAATTCAACGGCCAATCCAAGCTCTTACCATCATTGCTCAAGGTCCATGCACCTTCTCCAATCTCCTGAAACAGTTGGTGCCACCCCCAAACTGTGTGCCCGAAGAATAACCAGTAGTCATTGATCGATTCGTTTCAGCTCTTCAATTTTAGTAACCGTGGCAAATTGATCAAGAAAGTAGATGCCTGGAGATACTTCGACATACTGAGTTTTGCTAACTGTCCTAGTTAAAGCAATGAAGGGCATCGCCGCCCTTTTTAAAACGGGGACTCCAAAAGATAGAGGAGCCTCTTTCAGGGACTCTATCCCTTCTCCAAGTTGATCTAGAGCGTCCCATCTGATTGGCTTGTTAAATATCAGACCCTGAAATCCAGTTTCTTCATCTGCCCCCACAATGATAATCTAAGAACTATCAAATGGGATGACCTCGAGAGGTTTATCGGTGGCAGTAAGGATTGAACCAACCACCACCTCAAATGTGGCTTTATTCGAACAACTGATATGTGTGACCTCGACTGGCCACCATTGTATTCAGAAACTCTTTTTGGGTTCTGGTTTTTCAATATTACTTCATGAGATGTGTACTTCGCAGTTTCATCTTCCTCGTGAACTGCAACCCCAGGAGAATCTTGATTCTTCCCAACTCCTTCGGTGCTCGTCAATGAAATTCCTACAAAAACCGGAGAAACCAAAGAAATTAAGTCTGCGCAAACAGGAAATGTTTACAAAAGGAAGAAATGTAAGAAGGGAAAAGGGAATTGTGAGCATGAAGAATGGTTAAAAGTAGGGTGGAAACATCAAAATTTATCCATCTACTTCAAAGATTAAGAGATGTACATATCAAAGATGACGAAGAAGTTACCTTTGTCGCCATAGAGACGATGAGAATTACTTCCATGCTGAGCTATGATTATGTTAGTTACTGATATGTCTCCATTGTAAGAGAGAGCTGTTTCAGTTTCAGGCGGGAATAACACCAGAGCAGGATAAACTTCCCTCTGCAAAGCCCAGGTTTTATTGACAGTTAAAAAAGCATAATCATAAACAAAATTTGTTCTTTTTCTTTTGCAGCAATGGATGCATACAATTTCAACGTAGTAGAGAATAGGAGGTTTAGGAAAAAGGACTACCATATTTCACCAAGAGTCACAAATGAATATAAAATTAACCTGGTTTGCTGATTTTAGGAATAAACTGCAGTCATTCAATGCGCAATCCATCAAATAGATGAGTGGAAGTTTCGTATTATTATTCATCGAGTTGTCTGCCACAAATATAACACCAGTCAATACATAATTATTTATGGAACATTTTTCCCATTTTAACATTCTTTCTACCAAACAAACAAGTTGTTCGGTAGTAATAATAATCATAGTGATTCAAATACTTCATAAACATGAAGCAGCATATCCTAGCAGAAAGCACATATAATGGATCACCAATTAACTGAATTTTATTTGTCAAGTTGACGAGACAGAGAAACAATAGATTAGGTGTATATCTCTCATAATGGCTCCAAAAAGGCCTTTGAGAAGCATGTATACTGAACGACTATAACTAGTTATCATAAGGTTTTCTCAACATGATTTCTGTATAACACAACTTCAAGATAATCAATAAATATCCTCATTCAAAGCGAGCCAAATGTGGCCCTCAGCCTCACGTGCCTCTTTACAAATTCACAGAATTTTTATTCAAAATATCAAATAATATGCCTACTTAGTTATTATTTCTCTCTTTCAATAAGGAGTACACAAAAAAGCTACATGTCTAAATATGACAGGAAGAATAAAGGATTAACTAATTATAAATGTGAAAATCATGCTCTTTCCCAGAGGCGCTTTTCAACATTTTCATGTAACCCCTTATGGCCCGATAGACTTCACGAACAACCAATTCCATTCTCTGGCAAAAGCCACACCAATTACTACTAAAATGTACAACAATATCCTCACTGCGGGCACGGGCCGCATTTCCACTGTTTGATTCGACCCAAAAACAAGCTTGGACAGCGTAACTTGAGGGACGGAATCAATTTCATGAAAATCTAGATTAACAAACGGCGGAGAAGTGGACTCCCTGGGGCTGTGAAGAACAGGCACAGAGCGTTGGTACGGAGCAAGACTTCCTCTAAGGTATTCTTTAAGAAATTTAGAAATTGACAAGTAACCAAACATTGTTTCTTCAGAGTAGACATAATGATTCTGAGATCTAGGATCAACTAAAACCAATGATGGAATTGTTGATCCACCAGTCAGAGATTCAAGTAGTCGATAGTTATCATCACATAAGAAAAAAAGAACCCTTAAACTCTTTAACTTGAGGTTCCTGTTCCCCGGACTTCTCTATCTCCGAAGAAATTTTCTCTTTTTGCCTTAAAATCCCCAGCTATAACTAGATCAAGACTTTCCAAAAGCTTTTCAGTTTCTATAGATATGAAATGTTTGCTTTTATCAGGAGAAATTCCCTCATCTTCCTTGTATGGAGAAGAAGGTCCAACTTCAACACCGATAGATTTTGGTTTTTCCTCACGCACCAAAGCATTTTCAGTTTCCATTGGTAGAACCTGTGGATCAGCAGTACCAATTAAAGGAACTTCCTGAGATGGTGGCTGTGAGGCGTCATTTGATTGACCATCTGTTTGTGATGGTACTTCCTGGGCTGTTTTGAGTCAAGATCATCTGATAAAAGACGAAAGCCTAATTCCTTTGCAAGTGAGCTCAATTTGGTTTCCTTCTTTCTCTATATAAGATAAGCTAAGATCTCTTACAAAGATTCACCTTGCAAATCTGAGGCTATATTATCTAGAGTGGCATGCTTAGCCTCATTTATAATCATGAATGAGATTTTATCCTGTAACTTAAACTTCTTAGCAGTTTCAGATAGCTGTAGTCTCGGATGCCCTGATGTACCCTTATAAGCCAGAAGTGATGACTTTCCTTGATTCGCATTTTGTGAACTCATCCAATCTGAAATCTGGTATTGAAGCGCTACTTCTCTAAATGCATCAAGAGCTTCCCTACTGCTTCTAGTTTCTGATGTTTCAGATGATCTATCAACAAAAAGGATTACCGATGGCTTATTTGCAAGTGGAAGATTTTGGCCATCAAATTGTAGCTACATTGCGTGGGAAGTTAAACACGGAGAGAAAGAGATATAATCAGTATAAGAAAGACAAGCTATAAGAGACTAAAATCAATATTCTAAAAGAAAGAAAAAGATAACCACATTGTACGTGGAGATTGGAACTTAAATATAAATTCACAGGAAATAGGTAAAAAAATGGCAGTTGGAATGCCACCCCTGTGCATGAAAACCAATTGTACTGTATGCATAATAAGTATAATATGCTTGCTCATAGTTAACAAATACATTGTTAAGGAGCCTTATACACAACTAGATAGCTGTAATGCCAGTATTGGTGGGATAGATAGTGACCAAGTTCCTTTAATTCACTATGCTTTAGTAATCGGCAAAAAGGGTAATTGCAACTTCAAGCTAGAGAGCATTTGGATTAGAGCAAGATGTAACATAACTGGCAGAAACATACTATTCACGTGTCCTACCATAATAAGAAAAAAGAAGCAATTACCGATGTGCCTGTTTTATGTATTTCAGTGGTATACAATCAACCTAAGATCAATCTTTTCCCACCAAGCCTAAAACACCATGGAAAAAAAAGGAGCTCTAAACCAAGAAGGCTTCCACCACAATTTTTGGAGGGCACTGAGATGTAGAAAAATCCATACCTCGCGAACAACTGAATTGTCAGTCACTAAGGCGTTCTTGAGGTCATCCTCATCTTTAATAACTTTTGAACAACCAGGACATCCTTTAAAGTACATCACTGCCATCCATGTACCGGAATCTTCAATACCAAGCGATGGCATCAATGATCTATGAGAAATCAACCCAAATTTAAGCCTTTCGGGAGGAACTAAGAACTCTCTTCTAAGTTTCTATCATCAATCAACTTAGAGAAAAACGAATAAGGTACAGCTCAATCCAAGACCAAATTTCAAACTTTCACTCTCCCGTGAAGAAATACTATCATTTACCATACTAAACTCAGTAATCCAATGAATTCCAGCAATCCCATTTTCAACACCATATTTCAGCATCCCGCTTTCCATTGCCTGAATTTCAAGAAGATAAAAAAACAAACAAACAAAAGTTTAAGCAACATTACCTCTAACCCCAACCCAAAATTCTCTCTTCATTAATCAAGTCAAATCTGGAAACAAAATGCAATAAGAAACTACCAGCAACCTTGGGCGTCAAATCAGTCCCAGTTTCATTATTCTTGACCTAAGCCAATAACTTGGGAGC